TTTCGTTTTCTTATTATCATCTGTGTTAGGCACATTCATTTGTAGAAGACTATGTTCCTGACAAAAAAAGCCTTTATTTTTAATTTTTTCCTGTGTTCTATCCATGTATCTGAGCTTTTCTAATCTGGATTCATGTTGCTTCCTGCCTGGTATAATTTCTCAGTGTCTCTGAGAACGTTGTGAAATGCTTTATGAATTTACTTTGGATGTGAGTGCTTACATTTGTTCCTCTGGCATGCTTTCCCTGTGTCCTGGTGAGTTCTCTGATGCCTGTTTTCATTGTAACTTTGCATGGGATTTGCTGATCCTTTTCTGCCCACTCTCTTACATGAAATTAATTTTTATAAAGTTTGCAGAGAGATGAATCTAGTTAGCCTCTGATTCTGAAATATGTCCATTTTATTCTATGCTTCCGGATGGCGCTGAAGTCACATGTGCTCCTGTCTGTATCCCCGAGCACTATATCCCCTTTCTCTCCCCTTTGCTGTTACCCCACATCTATTTCTGCAGCTTCTACTCAGATCCTTGTTCTACAATTCTTGCCTCTCCCCTGAGACTGGAACATGGTAGACCCTTCTGCATGTGTGCGCTGCTGATCCCACATGGCCGGTTGAGCCAGGGAGTGAGCTCCCTGGCTGTTTGGGGACCCTGGGTCTGCCACAGCCAACTAACAGCTCCAAAACATGGGGAAAACTATCGTTTACCCTCTAATACGCCTGAATATATTTCCTAAGAACAAAAGCATTGCTATATTTTCAACTTGTCATTCTCAATATATTTGTTATTGATACAATAACATTAACTAATTATAGCACATACTCAGTCTCCCAAACTGCCCCAAAAATGCCTTTAGTTTTTTAATCTGGGATATAATTAAGTACAATGAACAGCATTTGATTGTCATTTTTTTTTCAATTTCCTGTAACTAGAACAGCCTGCTCACTTGTTTTTACAAAATGGAAATTGTAATAATAATAACTTATTTTATAGAGTTGCTGGGAAGATTAAATAGGAATAATGCAAATAAACTGGCCAGCCCACTCCTCATGACACCATCAATAAATATTAATTTTTCCCATCTGTTGCCTACACTGAATCCAGTACCCTTCATTTGTGCAAGAGCTATAGTTATTGCAGTAAATTTTAAAAGTGGCATCTAATTTCAGCAACCAGAGTTAATGGGAGCTCATGCCTGAAAAATAAATTGGGTCCAGTCCCATGTTTCTGAGACTGTCCAACAGATAGCAGCCCAGCCCCAGGAGGACACAAATCCTCTGCTATGGCCTCCAAAGAAGGGCTTGACAACAAGCTTTTGCCTTGTCGGCCTGAACCACACGTAATAACATAATAACATGCCACTCACTCACCTTATACTGTTCCCATCGTTTCCCCACAAAACCTGTCCAGTAAGATCTTCTGTGTCATCCAACCGTTTGCTAGGTAAGCTTTCATGGACCAGGATCAGTGAAGACAGCATCTAAGTAACTGCTTTGTTCTCTTCACACATGTACTACAGGTACTGCATCTACCTGACCACCAGAAATTAGTCAGCCTTACACTTCAAAACCACAAGGAACCACAATTGTCGTTCCAATTCCTTTCTCACCCTCTAACTAAAGCAGAAACACAGCTGCATAACCAAATCTGTCTTCTGGACACACACACACACACACACACACACACACACACACACACACACACACACACACACACACACACACAAATGGCCAGCAAACACAGACACTGATTATATATCCTTTTATCTTGACTGTTGAGGGGCTTGAACTCAGGGTCTGGGCACCGTCCCTGAGCTCTTTTGCTCAAGGTTAGATTTCTACAATTTTGAACCACAGCTCCACTTCCCTAAGATTACATCTTGATGTTCCCTTCCTCATGAACAGTGGCACTGTGGTCAGAGGTAGAACCTCTAGCCCCTTGGTCCCACAGGTAGATAAGTTCAGCCAGACGTCTATTTGCCAAGACATATCCTAAGGATAGCATCTAACCAAGCAATTCAGGGATGATTGTCTGAACAGGGTTTCAGGATTGGGCACCATTTCTTATGAAAAACTCCCTTATTGGGGAAGAAAAGTCAGAACATCAGTAACCCTCAATCAATTAATAGAAAAATGCAGTTTACAAAGAAACATTTTACAATCAATTTCATTGGCTCTTGTCCTTTGTTGTTTTGTCTGTTCGGTTTGGGGTGCTAGGGATCAAACCCGGGGAATTTTACATACTAGGCAAGTGCCCTAGCACTGATCTCAGCTCCTACCAAAACTGGTTCTGTTTTGCTTTTTTATCTAATATTGTATGTCTTAGTATAATGGAAAATCTGTATGACTTTTTCAGTTTCTAATGTTTCCAACACTCAACTTGTTTTCATACCTTTGCTAATAATATAAAAAATATATATATATATATGTAGAGATTCATAAAACATAATATATGAAATAAACCTTTACATAACTCTAATAATGTAAACAGATTAAAAACAATGTTTTATGAAGTTCTACCATTTTACACGGGCGCCAGGAGGGTACTACAACACTGCAGGAAGGAGGAGAGGAAATGTCAGGCCGGCGTGAGGACGGCTCATAGGCTGGTCACCATCAGAGTGGTATGGAGAGGGGGGTCTTTGAGGGGTGATGAGGGAAGATGAGCTCACGAGGGTAAGGGGCCCACAAGGGACCAGGAGGCAGCAGAGCTCCCCAACTCCACCACAAGGCCACATCAAAAAGGTCACTGTCTACAAGCCAGGACCAGAGCTCCCCGGGAACACAACTTGCTAACACTTCAATCTTAAACTTCTAGACCCAGAACTGTGAGAATTACATGTCTTGTTCAAGCTTCCAGTTTATAACATCTTGTTAGAACAGCCCAAGCTGATTAAGACAGAGCATCTTGGATCTTAATATAGCCACTGTGATACTTTTTTTTTAATTTTAACACAGTAGCTCATTTCCGTATTCCCTACACAAGGAGTAGGATCTTTACCAACTCCTTAAAGAAGTGTTTTGAGGGAGAATGAAGAAGAAAGAGGAGAAGGAGGAGGAAGAGGAGGAGGAGGAGGAACACAACTTGGAAACCCCACACTGAGGGGAGGAGCAGAGGTCCCCATGATCCATTCTATAAACATGCCCCTTGGGGCTGGGCAGGTGGCTCAGTGGTAGAGCGCTTGCCTTGCATGCCTGAGGCCCTGGGTTCGATTCCTCAGCACCACATAAGCAAAAAGAAAAAAATCCGGAAGTGGCACTATGGCTCAAGTGGTAGAGTGCTAGCCTTGAGCTGAAGAGCTGAGAGACAGTGCCCAGGCCCAGAGTTCAGGCCCCACGACTGGACCCAAAAATAAAAAATAAATTACAAAAAATAAACATGCCCCTTTTGGTCCAAGACTGAAGGAGACAAAACAGGGTCTTTGCTCCCATTCTAAAGCAAGCAGACAGGCAGGAAAAGAGAAATGAGCCTTCTAAAGGACAGTGTGGGAAGCAGCACAGGGTGAGGAGTAAGAGAAAGGGAGGGGGCTGATTTTTGCCAGGGTGGTCCCGAGGAGCCTGGCTGCAAGGTCTGCAGAATCAGGTGCAGGTCCTGCACAGCTGAGCAGTGAGAGACCCAGGTAAGGATCACAGGTGAAGAAAGGCATGGGCAAAGACCTAGTGCTGGGCACACTTACAGACAGCTGGCGACTCCCACAGAGGGCAAGGTATGGAAGAAAACTCCACAGGAAATGTCACAAAGTGACAAGAAATACCTAGAGCTCATCCTTCACGCTCTCTCATTTGGCACAACAACATCATACCTGAGCATGTAGGAATTCTGCAAGGGACTGACGGCACTGCAGAATCCTATTGCAATAGAGAGACAGAGAGACGCTAGTCTCTGGATTACCACACCTGCCACCCCTTGGGCTATGGGGCTCACTCTTTTTACTTCACCTGAGAAACTTGCAGGTCTGGGCCCAAGTCAAGTACTCTACAAGGCCCTGGCAGACCAAGCAAGCTACACCTAAATCACACTGCTGAACTAAATGAGTTCCAACCACTTTCTTATATAGCTAGTGCTTATGATTCCCTGACCATGTACCAAGTTATGTGCAAATCCTCACAACAACCCTAGAAATGGGGACTGTTACTGATTATAAATCAGGAGATGAAGGCACACAACCAAGTTAAGGCAACCACCCAAAGGTAGATAATTGGTAAGTTCTAGAGACAGAATCCACAGACTGTCTCCACGGCTAGTTACACCACTGCCTGAATGTTGGTTTTCCCTCTAAAATTCACATGTTGAACCCTTGGCAACCCAAAATAACTATCTTCATGGTCAAAGTACTCAGGGGTTAAAAAAAAACTCACAAAACCAGGACCCCAATGTAATAGGCCAGGGACAGCAGAGAGATGATTCCTCTCTTGCCATGTGAGTCTTCTCTAGCTACTAACCAGGAAGAAGATCCTCATCTACCCCTCCCACCTCCACCCCCCATGCTGTGCTTTGATGTGTTTTAAACCATGCAGTTTGTGGAGTTTCATTACAGCAGCTTGTGCTGACTAATACACCTCACAATGCCTTCGGGTGAGTGCATAAATCCATGTCTCACCACTTGCCATAAGTAATCTGTGAAATCTCATCCCCAGCCAGCCCTTCATACTGCTACAGCGAACACAAACTCATTTCCCTAGACCCAGACTCCTCAAGAAAGCAGCAGACTGAAGGGACACTTTATCACAGCTAATTAGATTCTTTGGATCACAGCAGTTACACTTAAAAAAAAAATCTACTTTCCACTCATTTAGGATGACCTCTTGGCTAATGAATATAAAACAGTAAAGAATGAGAATTAAGAAACCATTTAGCTAAAATGTAGTGTTATTACTTTCAGACACACAGAGCAGTCAGGACAAGTCCCAGGAAGCTCACACTGAGGACTGAGCAGCAGGCCCTGGGCAGCAGGCTGCAGTGCTGACAGGGGACCGAGGGGGGGAATAAACTGGGAAGCTCACCATCACTGAGATCCTGGAGGAGGTTCTCCTGGCAGGAGAAGTCCAATCTGGCTTTGATGCTAATGGCGAAGGTAGCCACCTTCCCAGGCTGCAGAGGGAACTGGGACAGCGTTTCTTCCAGCTTCCAGCTCAAGAAGTCTCCGCACAACTTTTCTACAATAACAACAGCAGTGGTGAGGGGGACATTCTTGAGGCCAGAGAGCTACTACCCCCCACCCCCGCCAGGGACTTCTGATGCATTCAAAGCAAGGCCAAAGGAAAAGGACTGAAAACACGAGAGGAGGAAATGCTAAGAAGATTCTAGAATCAAGAGGGACCCTGAGGCACTTGCCCATGTACAGAGGAGGCACAAAGCAGAGGGAGAGTATCAGGAGTTGGAGGCCTAAACTGAGGAATCTGCTTCTAGTAGGCAGCTCTTTCTTGCGCACAACCAAACACTTCCTTTGCTCATATAAATGAGAACTAAACTAGCTTTCTAAAGTGTGTTCTCTACTGTGTCACTCTAAAGAGAGACAGTGTCAAGTTTGGGGGGGAGGGGCGGGCTTATATTTGCATTTTCTTCAGAAACACAACCCACAGTCAGAAGTGTACAACTATGCGCAGCTCTATGGAGAGGGTAAGGGGGAGATGGGGGAGAAGGTGTGAAGCAGCGAGGGGGCTGGAGGGGACAGAATGGGTGTGAGAGGAGCACTGGGAGAGAAGGGTGGGGAAGGGAGGTGTGGGGAAGAGGAGAGGAGGATGTGGAAGGGGGGCTTGTGGGGTGGAAGAGGGAGGAGGTGCTGGAGGGGGAGGGGTCCTGGAAGAGGAAATGGCGTGGGAGGGACAGTGGGAGAGGTAGAATGGAAGAGGGGCATGAGAGCGGTGTGGAAGGAGGGGCTGAGAGAGAGGTGCTCTCTGCTCCACACACAGTCCACCTGTCTTGAAAGTCTGGTGTTGCGAGACCGCCTGGGAGGCCGCGCTTCCTCACACACCTGTGCACGCCCCACTTCACTCATCTATAAACTGGGGTGCTGGGAAGAATCATGTTAATAAAAACAAGTGTTTGTCTGGCGCACAGTAAGCACTCGGGTTGTGGTGGCTACTCCTCTTTCCTGACTGGATAATCCTCACAGCCCTTCCCCAGGGCTGTGGGGGGAAGGATGCTTCCAGGCTGCGGCACCCTGCGCTTGGCATTCGGTAAGTATACATTAGTGCTAGCAGCCCTCGGCTTCCTCCCCGTTCCATGACTAACAGGACCTGGCACCCGGTAGGCACTCCACAGTGTACGATGTGAAACCCATCCATGCATGCCAAGACATCATTTTAGATTTATAATTAGAACAGATGGGGAAAGGCTATGTGGAAAAAAGCAGATCTCCAAACAACATAGAATGTAATTCTAACTGCACAGAGACATTCAGACGGAAAGCAGGCATAGCTACCTTCCTAATACTGGCTGTCTTTGAGTCATGGGTTCATAAGGTAGTTCAAATTACTCTGTATTCTCTGAATTTTCCACAATGAGCATATAGTATACTTTTACAAACAAACTGTACTAACATTCAGGGGGAGGTTTGTTGGTTCAAGGCCAGCCCAGGCCAAAAACATTAGCAAAACCCAATCTCAACCAAAACACTGGGTGTGGAGCACAACCTAATCACAACAACCCGGGAAGCATGAGTACAAGGATTGCACTTCAGCACTGGCTCCAGCAAACAGCACAATCTGAAAACACTAAAGCAAAAAGGCTGCCAGAGGGCTGGGAAGGTGGCCCAGTGGTAGAGCGCTTGCCTTGCATGCATGAGGCCCTGGGTTCGATTCCTCAGCACCACATAAGCAGAGGGGAAAAAAAGCCGGAAATGGCGCTGTGGCTCAAGTGGTAGAACACTAGCCTTGAGCTGAAGAGCTGAGGGACAGCGCCCACGCCCAAGAGTTCAGCCCCACGACTGGACCCAAAAAGGTTGCCAGTGTGGTTAAAATGGCACAGCACCCGCCTAACAAGAGCTGGAGCCTAAATTAAAAATTCAGTTCTGGGAAGAACAAAAAAAAAAAAAACCTAACAGATCATTTTGGAATAATCTCAGCACCTCCCCCCATATTCATTTACACTGGCCCCTAATTTACTCCCACCAACCTGGCCTACATCGGTATCACTGTGTCAGTCCCCAGACTCCACTCTGTTGCCAGATGAATAAACTTTTCTAAAGTGATGGGTCTGTGTCATTGCTATTGCCACACAAATAACAGGTGATCAAATGGCTTAAAAGAATTTGATCAGTGTTGGGCATGGTGGCTCATGTCTGTAATCCTAGCTATTCAGGAGGTTGAGATTTGAGGATCGTGTTTCAAAGCCAGCCAGGGCAGGAAAGGCCACTCAGAAAACAGGAAGTGGCGCAGTGGCTCAACACGTAGAGTGCTAACCTTGAGCTGAAGAGCTGAGGGGCAGCGCCCAGGCCCATGACCAACAAAAAAGAATTTGATTAGAGGAAGGAAAAACTACCTCACACTGATCAGTTAAGCTCTACCTCTCCTTCCCAAACTCTGTGCTCACAGGCACAGCAGGACCACTGGGAGAAAGGAGATAGGAGTCAGTCCAAGGGACGCAAGATAATAAGTGCTATCATCTAATGCCACGTGACAGCTACGTTGTTCCTGTGTTATAAAAGAGGCGACTAAAGCTCAGAGTGAAGCAATTTGCTCAAAGCTATCAAAAGTGAGAGGTAGGACTGGCCAGGGCGGCTTGTTACCCCACTCACTTCCATGTACCCTCCACCCTACCTCCCCTATTTTCAGCCTTGTCTCTGGTGTGTAGACTATTTCCCAGGAAATCCTCACAAAGGTGGTATGACACAGTGCCTCCAAAAGAGGAAGTGTGTGTGGAGCAGGGGAGAGGAATAGAATACCCAAGCACATGAGCCCTGGGGCCAGGCAGGCTGGAGCTTGAGTCCCAGCACAGCACATACTAGCTCCGTAAATGGGACAGATCCATGTCCTCCGTCATCCCAACAGGCTGTTTGTAAGGGGATGAGACACTATAACATACAACACAGCAAGCTGCCCAGTGTGGTCTATAGACAAGGCTTCTATGGACTCCCTCCCTGTGGTGAGTGACACCTGCTTCACACAACCCATCCACTCAGGGAGCTCCCACCCTTCCCCCACCACCCAGTCATAGGGCTTGACCTCAGAGCCTAGGCTTCGTTCCTGAGCTCTTTTGCTCAAGGCCAGTGCTCCACCATTTTGAGCTACAGCGCCACTTCCAGTTTTCTGATGGTTAACTGGAAATAAGAATCTCATGGACTTTCCTTCCCAGGCTGGCTTTGAACCAAGAACCTCATATCTCAGCCTCTTGAGTAGCTAGGATTACAGACATGAGCCACCAGGACCCAGCTCAGGAGCTTTCATTTGCACAGACAGTAGATATTCTCACGCCAGGTACTATCCTAGGTCCTAGGGGCAAAGAGAAAAATATGGTATGACCCCCTGCTATCAAGAGGGTAAAGACTTAAGTCGGGGAGAGAACAATGGGACCATGCACAGGAGAAGTCCCCCATAAGTAGACCAGATCAGAAGCTTTCTCTCAATTCAAAAAGTTCCTTAAGAATTTGTACCACAACTGCACACAGAACAGTTTCTGTGTTGAATCAATTAACTGTCCAGAACTAAAATAGGATTTGTTGTCCTGCAGGGTCTGGGGCTCAAGGCGACAATAACTCATCTTAGCTGATCAGAGACATATGACTAGTAGGGCAAGGAGACTAAAACCATGATCACAGCACTATGCTTGCCATCTGGACTTAGGACACAATGATGGGGACAGGGGTCTGTGGAGAGAAGAGAACACGGAGATTTCAGCGGGACTGTGGGACCAAGGCTGACCCCAATCCCAGAGAAAGACGGGAGGAAGCAGTGGCCCAGGGCTAGGTACTGTGCTTCCTATAACTTCCCCAGCCCCTTCCCACTTCCTCTGCTAGCCTGAGGGTACAGCCATAAACCAGGGCTGTGCTGAGCAGAGCTGTAGACCGTGTTACTGCATCTGCACAGCTACCCTGGATAGGCCTACTACTGTCCCTGCTCTGGCTAGGTGCTCAGGGCCGCACAGAAGGGATTCTGCCAGGACCCAGCAATCTGCCACACACTGCTCTTTGTAGGCTCACTCGTTGAATATATAAAGAAACCTGTGGGACATAAACAGCCCACCTGTGAATAGTGCTGCCTTTCAGTTGTAACAAGTGTGCTTTTCTCTACATTTTAACTTTTTGCATAAGCATGACGCATGAAGACTCCAAACAACTAAGAATTAATTTAATACCCAAAATCCCCCCTGCAGGCTGGGCGCCCTCACTTCTGCCCTTCCTGTCTTGCTCAGATCTTTCTCATTCAGGCTCCCACCAAGCTGAACATCCGACACTGGAGGCGCCAGTTACAAGCCATGTCACCTTGGCTCACAGGTTTCTCTGGCTTGACCCCAGAGCTGGCTGTGCTATACAAAGCACTGAAATCACATACATACACACAGAGAAACACCAGCCTGAATGGCTCTTAGTCCTCCGGGAGTTCTGGCATCCTGGCAGAGAATCACCTGCAAGTCCATTTTCTGTGGGCAGTCACATGGAGAAGAAACAACACAGGTGAGCGGCCCAGGCTCAGCACAAGCCCATGAACATGTCTGACTCCCATATGGAGCTGTGAGCTCCCTGGGACAATGCTCAGACATTATCCATGTGCTTGCTCAGTCGCTGCATATAATTGTAACATAAAGGTCTGATTGTTAAAGAACACAAAGCCGAGTGAGGTGAGCACTGTTGGGAGAAATGCCGCTGGCTTTGTGCAGCAGGAATGGTGAAAACAATCCTAGTGGAAGGGGTTGGAAAAGCCTTCAAGAGGTGCCCTGGTCCTGGCCGGGGGAAAAGGGCCGGGCTGGAAAAGGCTGGCTGGCCACAAGAAAGAGGCCTGGATCCCACTCACCTGGGGTCCCCAGTGCCCAGCACAACAGCAAGGGCCTGCTGAGAGGCCCGTCCAAGACGAGCTGCTGACGCCAGACAAGAAGCTCAGGTGGCAGGAGAGGGCCTGGGCCCTGCTCTCTCTACCTTGGTACTGCCCACCTGACACCTGCTCACAGCCCAGCTTCCCCAGCGTGAGCACCCCAGGGAGACACGCGTCACCGCGGTGCCACTCTCTAAAGCACAGTACCCGACACGTGGGTGCAAAAGAGACAGGAAGACAACAGGGTGGCAACAAGCCAAAGGATGGATTTCTGGAATGCTGGGAGGAAGGTGCAGCTCAGGGGTGGGAGACACACGTAAGCATGCTCCCCATCCTAAGTTTACTCCTCAGTACCGCAACCGCACTGCAAATGCTGAGAAATGTTTGCCTGTTTAAGGAAGGTGACAAAGTAACAGTTTAAAAGATAACAATAGTAGCAGCACCAATAACAGGGGCTTACAGGAAGAACTATTGTGTTCTGAACCCTTGGTAATGCCAGGGAGTGCAGTAAGTACTTCACGTGTACTATCGCAACCCCAAAGGTGTCAGAAAGCAATCTGTACCAGGAAGAAAAAGACGGTCACAGAAGCAAGCCACTAAGTGGCAAAGCCAGGATTCAACCCAGGCTGGTCTGACTGTGGACAGCAATGCTGACTCTGAGGGCTCCCAGTCGTGCTGGGGGACTTCTTGCTGGTTCCCTTCTCCACCTCAGTGCTGGCCACAGCAACCTGTTCTCAGCCACATCTCTGCTCTCGCCATACCAGGGCATCAGGTGGGAGTTGGTGTGGAAACTTCAGGAAGAGCCAGATAGACGAAGTCCTTCCCCTCACTCCCACAGCACGCTCACTTTGATGACACTAAGTAGAAACCACTTGCATACAACACTTGTTTTCAAAACTCTGCCTTGTGCTAAAAATAATAATTACATGAAAATAGCATAGCAACTCAGAGACAGACCAGAGAGAAAGTCAGACACTCAGCAGGGAAAGTGACGTCCATGCAGCCCTGCGGCCAGCTCATTACTGAGCCCTGGGTGTTACAGGGCCCCATGTGGACAGAAAGAAGGGCCTCCCAGGCTGTTTCTAGCTTCCTCTACCTCCTCCCTGGGTACCAAGCAGGGCTCTGGCTAACTGCTGTGTGGTCTCTAGTTGGTTTTTTGTTTTGTTTTGTTTTGTTTTGGTCATGGGTCTTGAACTCTGGGCCTGGGCGCTGTCCCTGGGCCCTTAAGCTCAAGGCTAGTGCTCTACCAATTGAGCCACAGCGCTACTTCTAGGTCTCTAGTTCTGATGGGCAGTGCACGCTCACTCATCCAGAGGATGGTGCATCTTTCCAAAAAAGGTATGAGAACAAGGGGAAAGGCTGAGCTTGTGTCTGCAACACTTTGGGAAGAACAGGAACCCGTCTTCCTCGGGCGGGTTGTCTACTGGTTCATTTCAAGTCGGTCTGAACAATCCCACTGCTCTGGTTCCCAGGCCTGGCAGTCCAGGGAAGCAAACCCATCAGCTCCTCCCCACACACCAGGTGCCAGTGCAGCACAGGCACTCCTGCGGTGTCTGTTCTGGAAACACTGCGGAAGAGGACAGCTGGACTCTGCCAGCATCAGAAAACATCAGGCCACCAGCTATCTCACTTAAGACAAAGAGAGACAGAGAGCAGACAAGGGAGAGAGACAGAGAAGAGACAGGGAAGAAAGAAAGAGAGGAGATAGACAAAGGGGGAGACACACAGAAAAGAGGAGAGGAGAGGAGGGAAGGGGAGATCTGGCTAAATTTTTGCCACAGCTAGCCTCAAGCCTCAATCCTTCACATCTCCACTTCCTGAGTAGCTAGAATTATAGGTATGAAATGCTGTGCCTGGACATGTAATTCTTAAAGCAAGTGTGAGTGAAGTGTGGTTCTTGGCCTGTGCCCGGAGCTTCCTGTGCTCTGCCCGGACAGCTTACCCTCAGGGCAGCCATGCAGAGGGCACCAGAGCTGCACTTACTGAGTGTCACCAGCACTGTCCCTAGCCCTTCGGCCCGAGGCTGCAGCAGCAAAACACACAGGCCACCTCCCTGGCCCAAAAGCCCTGTTGTGAAGAAAGTGAGCGAAGATGAGGTGAAGAGCCACCTTTCCAGCACGTCGGAGCACGGAAAGGAAAAGGCTAACTGTGCCACGAGAAAGGAGAGCGGAGCACGCAGACGGCAGGATGTCACGCCACATGGCGAAGGGGAGCTCAATGTGCCGGCCTTCGAACAAACATAAAACCAGAATGGAAGCAGTTGCCGCTCCACCCATCCACGGCACCCGCACAGAACAGCTCGCAGTCCCCGGAGGCGTGTCCTCATCTCCTCACGAGGGCAGGTCATCTGTCAGGGCTGACACCTTCTTGGGACATGGGAGGAATCATTGCCTTTACATATTTTGGAAGCAGATGGTTTGTTTTCATTCATCCCATGTGCAAATGTACTCTAGCTTGGGACAATAACTTAAGATGGCTTTAATTTTTCATTTGTAACCATGTTGTTTAGGAAATGGCGGTGCCATGCTATATATTATATGACTGTCTTCCTCTCCCATGAAGACACTGAGGAAGACACCAGAGCTCAAAATTAGGAGACCGGAGTTCTCATGAACCTGCCATGTGGCCTAAGGCAGACCGGCTCCCCACCCCAGGGCCCAGTACAGAGGGCAGTCCAGCAAGCAAGACGTGAGGTCTGGGCAAGGCCAGGTGAGAAACTCAATGCGAGGCCGAGTGGAGAAGGTGGGTGTCGGCATGACCACCAAAGAGTCGTCCCCGCTGGGATCCGTCCAGCCGCTGTGCAGGCTTCAAGTTTCTGCATCATTAACAGTCCTCACCAGGGCTGAGCAGGTAAATGGAAAAGAGAGGTAGCCTCTGGGGGAGAGGCAGGGAGGGCGGATACAAAGGGACCCGAGAAAACTGTCTCCAGAACGGAGATGTTCTGTTCTGTATCACCACAAGGGCGTGGGTTGGCCAGGGTATCTCTATTTGTCAAAACTCACCAAATGACACACTAAAGACTTGTACATTTCACTGCACACATATTTTACCAAAAATTCACACTGTGATTGATAAAAAAAAAACTTGCTGAAGCATTTAGGAGTAAAATTACTGAAATCCGTGGCTTAAACATTAAAAATAAGATAGATTAAGAGGGCGCTGGTGGCTCAGGCCTGTCATCCTAGCTACTCCAGAGGTTGAGATCTGGGGATCGTCCCTCAAAACCAACCTGGGAAGGAAAGACCGTGAGACCATGATCTCCCACTGACCATCAAAAAGCTGGAAATGGAGCTATGGCTCGAGCAGTAGACTGCTAGTCTTGAGTAAAAAAGCTCAAGGACAGCACCCAGGCCCTCTTAGTTCAAGCCCTAGCACACGTGTACACACACATGCACACGTGTACACACACATACATACGCACACACAAAGATGGATTAACGAACGGATGGGCAGCCTGCACGTGCATATATAGCAAAACGCTAATTGTAGAGCATGTGGGCGGGATAGAAGCCAAACTCCAAGACCAGGCAGTGGCTGGGGAATGCAGAAACCACTGCGGCGGGGAGGACGGCCTGAGAGGACACAGAGGGGGAGGAGGAGAAGAAAGGGGCACACAGGATACATGGGAATTCCAGAATAGCTTGCCACTCTTATTAATTACATCCTCCCTAGCAATAAGCTAGATGGCATATCTCATTAACCTCTTTCTATCAACAGTCCCTCTGTCCTGAGTGCCTTACTATGTGCCAATACCCAGAAATGGAAGAAAAAATAAATTGGCTGCATCTGAGACTCTCAGGTGCTGAACCAGTAACCAGCCATCACAGCACATGGTGATAAGGAGCTGTCGTGGCACTTTGGGGCACTCTGAAATGGCAAAACACCCGTGATCCAGTGCTGGGAGAGCTTCCCTGGTTAGAGAAACTTGGCTAGAATCAAAGCTGAGGAGACAACGGGGTAGGAACAGAAGTCAGCAAGCTAAGCTCCAGGGGGAAGAGATGACTGGTCCTACAATGTAGAAGGGAAATGGAAATGAGTTCCCAAGGACACATGTGAGCACAGAGTAAGGGGAGACAGCTGAGATGCTGCTGGGGGGGTGGGCAGGGCCTCAGGCACCCTGACAACAGGGACTGGTAGAGAATTTCCAGAGGAGAGGGTGTGCCCCAGAAAGAGCAAGCATGGACGTGTCACGAACAGTGTTACCATCTGGATTTAGTTGAGAGAAGGAAACTGTAAAGGCAAGGTACATCATAAGAGATGTGAATGGCTTTCACCATATAAATCAGCACTTTCCATCATTCAATATTGGCTTATTTGTTCCAATGCCAACCCAAACCACCAGTTAATTGGAATTCAGAGTGCTAAAGGAAGGTATTTTGTGTTAGAGAGACAGTTTGTACATACTGCACCTGTATTTGGTCCACTAATGGGAAAAGGAGAGGAGGATGAAATGCAGTATCACCAAACCTATCAAAGACTACCAGAGTTAGTCACTCAGGGTATACCTCCTGCTAATAAACAGCACACGCAGTCCCAGCACTACCTACCCTTGGTGGGGAGAATTTTTGAGGTAACTTCCAGTTTCTCCAATGGCTCCATCCCAATATTTTCCAAGGTAATGACAAGTTGCTGGGTCTCTCCATTATAAAGCTGGACCGACACATTAGTAGATATTTCATCACCAGAAGATGGTTGCAGTGAGTGTGCAGATCTGAAATAGTGATAACAGTGATAAATGTGAGCAAGAGAAGTGCAAAGAACCTGACAGCATGCTAGGACCGTTCACACCATATAAGAGAATGGCCACACCAGTGAACCTCAGAAATACGTGGGCAAACCCCGGCTTCACATGTGGGACTCAGTGCCCAGCATCAGCGACAGAAAGCCAATGGCCAACAGCCACCTGCCAGGGCCTGGTTCACACAGACATAGTTGCGGGCTAAAAATCTGATACTCTTGCTCAGCCTCAGTTTCTTGGGCATTCGTGAAACATGAAAACATTGTGTCACCAGGTTGAAGAAAGCAAAAATAAAATGGTGGATTAACAAATGACACTGAGGAGGTAACAATGCTTGATAGGAAATGCACTCATTACCTTACTCATGTAACTATAACCCCTCTGTACAGTATCTTTACAATAAAAATATATATACAAAAAAAATGACCCTAAGGGTACTGCTCTCATGCTCAGAATTGCCTTGGAAAAAAATCCATGGATTTAATAGGAAAACTTCAATTATCCATTCCTACTAATACCATGAGAATTAGGGCCAAAGAAAAAATTAAAAGTACATAAAACAGGGGCTGAGAAGGTGGCTCAGTGGTAGAGCGCTTGCCCTGCATGCATGAGGCCCTGGGTTTGATTCCTCAGCACTACATAAGGAGAAAAAGCCAGAAGTGGTGCTGTGGCTCAAGTGATAGAGCACTAGCCTTGAGCTGAAGAGCTGAGGGACAGCGCCCAGGCCCAGAGTTCAGGCCCCAAGACCGACAAAAAAAAAAAAAAAGTATATGCAACATAGTCCATATTCCATCCCTAAGGTGCAAACCATGAGCACTGCCCATCAACCCCGAACATGACAGGGCAATGGGTTCCATCCTCATGCGGCCCTCCCTGCAGGACTAAGCCAGGTGGCCAGCAGCATAGCCTGTGCAGCCCAACCCCAGGGCTCTCCACCGCCCCCCACCACCCCCAAGCCTCTGCACTAATGCCCTGTATCTTCAAGCTTTGCTGGAGCGCACTGGATCCACATACTAACTACCCCAGCAGCAAACAGACTTCCTACCAGGAGGTACTGTACCCCAGGAAAGGACTCTTGGACTCAGTCAAGACAAAAACCAGCTAGCAAAGATGACAGGCATGAAGGTAGGCAAAGTTAAAATGTATTTACATCTGTGAGGAAGCCTGGCCACAAAGGAAAGGCTAGGTGAACTGGAAGGAGCCACAGCGAAAAAGGAACCCCAAGATTTGACTAAGACCCTACCATCTCCCTCTTTACTTCCGAAGGATTTACACTGACAGCCACAGTTAGCTGGAAATATGAGCTAACGTTGCACTTAATAAAACTGTAAATGGATCAGGAGATCAACAGGAAACTCAGCGACACCACTGTGCCCAGGGTCCAACAGCCTCCAAGGGACCTATGCTTTCTAGCTCTGCCCTGGGCACTGCACACAGCTCGAAGTTGAGTCCCAGGCAAGTCTCCCACAACACTGGAGAGTTCACATCTAGATGTTTGGACCACAGGACAGTGAGGAATGCTCCATATAATAATAGCTTCACACCTCTGGTTTCTAAACAAAGTCAATGCTTGAAACAAGAGAGACCTGACCAAGCCACTCCCACACTCCTGGGGCCTGGTTCTAGGCCTGGATAGGAGAGCTCTGACGGTCAACCCAGATTCTCAGAAACTAAGAGTGTGATGGATCCGGATGAATTCCTCTGCGTCAGGCACTGAACTATCTGTCAAGGTGCCAAGGCCCTCTGAGGAAAGAAGGGAAGAGATGGAAGAGAGAAGAGATGGAAAGAGGGAGGGAAGGAAGGAAGAAAAGAAGGACAGAGCAGAGCAGAGGAGACGCAGCCACAGGACCTGGCCCTGGCCCAGCGGCTGTGAACAGAGAAGCTTGGCTGAAACTGGAGCTGGCACTGTGCTGTTCACTCAAGCACAAAGCACACCTCAGGTATAGACAAATGTGAGTGAGTTTAATGAGTCACTCTCATATTACAGACAACACTCCTTTAAAGAATAGTCACTTTCTTAGTGCATAAAAGCACCTTAGAAAAATAATCTCCCTTTTAAGCCCAAATTGTTCCCATGGGGTGCTCTTCCCAGCCCTTGGCTCTGTCAGAGAACTAACAGGCCTCAGTTCCACCGCAGGCTCCACCCCTGCCCTGTGCTCAGGATTCCCTGCAAGCATCAACACCAGGGAGTCCGTGTGCCCTCACCAAAGCCCACCACAGCACAGGAAGAAGCAGAGGCAGTTGTCTCTGGATATTATCTCTAGAATCTATCCTAGAAACGGGCGAAACAGAGGGGCATGGTGATGGCTAGGATCTTGTTCTTCGCTTGGTACAGCTGGAAAGGTAAGCTTTGAGGCAGCTGTACTAACAGGGCAGGTGGCAGGGCCTTTCCCAACAAGCTGCTTCCTCCTGGTGAAGCCCTTCCACCAAGCATGCTTGTCCCCAGCCTCCCGCCCCGCAGCAGGCTCAGCACTGTCACATCTCCAACCAGCTCTCTCTCCTGGCTCACCTTGAGTTTTTCTTCAGGTGGCTGGTGCTCTGCAAAAGGCCCAGGAGTTTCAGACTTGCCCGTGCAGCCCAGAGCCTGTGTCTTCCCTAACCTGGCATCTGCCAGGTGCCTCATTACCATGAAGAACAATAGGTAGGCCGGCAGGCAAGGCCTGAGCAGACATCTGCAGACTTAACTGTTGAAGCTGCTACAATGGAGGCAGCCCATATCCCCAGGAACACAGTTACAGAGACAAGGATGCCTTGCCCCCCCCCCCAGGCTACCTCAGACACAACTACAATGATACAACCTAACTGAGGTGCAATTACAAACTATAAAGTTTACTTTACTTTAGATATACAATCTGTTTTTAGCAAATTTACAAAGGAGTACAGCCATCACTGAGAAACAATTGTAAAGTGTTTCCATCCGCCCAGAGAGATGCCTGGCCCTTGTAGTCAAATCCCTGTTCCTCCCCAGAAATTGTTGGTCTGCTTTCTTCTCCACAGATCTGCCTTTGCAGACATTTCGAGCAACAGGAATCAGATACCACAGGGCCTTTTGCATCTAGTGTGAGGGCCACCTACACTGCAACATACATCAGGAGTTCTCTCATTTTTCTCTCATTGTTTTTTGCCACTGTACAAAGGAGCCACCTTTTGTGTACTCATTCATTACCTGATAGCCATGTAGGCCTTTTCCACTCTTGACTACAAAGTCACGCCTAAGTTTCCATGTCAATATATAATTGCACTGGAAGGATATCTTGCAGTAGAATTGCTAGGTCATACTGCAAGTTTACACACACACACACACACACACACACACACACAAACATATATTCCTCTCCTCCCCCCTCCCCCCCATCAGTCATGGGCCTGAACTCTGGGTCTGGGCGCTGTCCCTCAGCTCTTCAGCTCAAAGCTGGTGCTCTACCACTGGAGCCACAGTGTCACTTCTGGCTTTTTTTGCTTAAGTGGTGCTGAGGAATCGAACCCAGGGCCTCATGCACGCAAGACAAACACTCTACCATGGAGCCACCTTCCCAGCCCGTATTTCATTTTTTGAGACTGCCAAGTGTCTGCCTGGGGGTTCCGTTTTACATTCTCATGGTAGTGCATGAGGGCCCGAGCTCCTGCGCTCCCTTGTCAGCCTGGCAGTCGCCTGTTTCCTAATCACAGCCCACCCCCGTGGGTGCGTGCTGGAATCTCGTGAGATGCCGGCCCACCAGATTAATGATGCCGAACACCCGGCCACGCTGTTTATTAACTACTTGTGCATATCTGGTGGTGAAATAGCTATTCAAATTTCTTGCCAATTTTTTAATTAGGTTGTTTGTCTTCTTACTAGTAAGTTGCAGAGTTCTTTATGTGAACATAAGCTCTTTATCGGCTATATGATTTGCAGATAGTCTCGGGCAGCCCGTGAGTTGTCTTTTCATTTTCTTAATGGTGTCTTTGGAAGCATCGATGGTTTTTAATTTTGATGGAGTCCAGTTTATTAAGGTTTTATTTTATGGATCCTGCTTCTGGTCTTATCTGAATCCAAGGTCATGTACACTCTCTCCTGCTTTCTTTTTTAAAAGTTGTGTACTTTTGGTCTTACAATCACGTCTATGGTCCCCTATGCATTCTTTTTTTTTTCATTTCCAAACTGCAGAAAGCTTTCTCCTGCCTCTGTTCCTTATGTCAGACAGCTGTTGCCACCCCTCTAGCCCATCACTGCTGATGCTGCCTCCTAGAAGAAACTCCCAAAGTCCCTGTGCTGTGCAGAGCACAGGGGACCTGTCAGAGTCCCTACAGAGTCGCTACACTGCTTGTCAGTCTCACCACCGGAGGGAGCTGCCACAAGGACAGACCAGGGCTGTGGAGCTCACTGTCCCAGCCAGGCCACAGCAAGGCCCAACAGGCGCAAGGCCCCGCGAAGCACACACACTTCAAAAACAGTGCTGAACACAAGCCCAAGATATACTACCAAAAGGGCCAAGGAGAGCCACTATTTTTCTAAAGTGCAAGAACTGAGAAAATCTCAAATTCCAACCACAAGGAAATAAATACAAATACATTATTAAGGTATCTTTATGGTATCCATTTTTTAATAATTCCAATTGATTTTTTTAAGAATTTATAGCTGGGCACTGGTGGCTCAGACCTGTAACCCTAGCTATTCAGGAGGCCCAGGCAGGAAAATCCATGAGACCACTCAAAAAAAGCTGAAAGTGGCGCTGTGGCTCAAGTGGTAGAGTGCTAGCCTTGAGCACACAGCTCAGGGACAGCACCCAAGTCCTAAGTACAAGCCCCAGGACTGGCCAAAAAAAAAAAAAAAAAAAAGAATTTAAAAAAGTAGAAATAAAAGCTTGTTATGTGGTTACACAAAAAGTAATAGTGAATCTATATGTATGATACAGCATGAACTCATATACCTAAAAATATCAAAAACTCCAAATGTGTTTTCTAAAACAAAAATCAAAAACCACAAAACTCTGCCAGAAATACCACAAAGCACAAATAGCACTGGGGCTGCCTAACATTCGCTCTCCTTTCTTCCGCATGCTTTCCTATAATACTCCGCAGCCAAAAGAAAGGACAAAGCCATTTTTTAACCAAGTTTTTCTTAAATGCCCTAAAACCTTGTTTTTCTAAAGAATTATGATTCCAACAGCTAACTTCACATATGTTCTGATAACAGAGACTTCAACTTTGTTCCAATTCGTTTTCAACAGCGCATATGAACTACTGATTATCTTAAAGAAATGCTTCAACCATATTCTGGTGAGGAGAACATCAGACTAAATCTACTTGCGTTATTTTTTTAAACATGTAAGTGAAAAGTAGCAGAGGCAGTCCTGGCCAACCATTAGTCTCCCCCCCCCGCCCCCTCACTCCCCCCCCCCAGCTTCTCAGGAACCTACCTAGGCAGAGACGTGCTGATCTGTAGTCTTGGCAAAGCCGGGATGACCTCCACAGAGGAGCCACTGGTTCTGACCCCTGGAAGGTTATCCAGCAGACAGTCACTGAAGACACCGAAGACTGTGGTATGGTACCCTGCAACAGAAGGCAACAGTCTTCATATATCAGACGAGGCGAGACGTACACAGGAATCCTCTCCCTAAGGCCTGGCCCATCACCTACTGGCTTCCATCATGTGGCACCTCAGACCACAGACATCTCAGTATCCTCATGCCAAATGGAGTGGTAACATCCCCTGGGCCCTGGCCACGAGGATGACCAGGTCCGGATGAAGGTATGTGGGAAGGTCCTCACAGCTTGCTATCACCACCTCAACCCTTACTGACTTGCTTTCCAGATGCTATACATCTCTAAAAAGGGTAGTTAATAGTCCTTTCTGGGACATACTGTGACTTAATGAGTATCTGAAAAATGGTTCAAAACCTTCTGTTGAAAGAGTTAAGTTCAAGGGCCAAACACTGCTAATAGAGCTGCTATGTGACGTGGCAAATCTGCTGTATGTGGACAAAGGACTATAATTTAAGATCAGCACATTTCCCATGCCAAAAAAAAAAAGTCTATTGGTTAGATAAACACTTGAAATTATTGAAGTAAAGCTTTAAAATGGCTTTTGAGATTTCAAGAGATAATTATTATCCACAATATTTGTTGTGTAACAAAATTAAACAATACCCAGTGGCTAATGCCTAGGGTGACAACTTTTCTACACCCATATGGAACTTGTTCTCCTAAAGGGGGAACGAAGCCAGCCATCTCTCAGGGCAGAGCCAGCCATCTCTCAGGGGCAGAGCAGGCCCTGTTGCTGCCTGGCCGGTGGGGCCACTCTGGGCCCCACCCTCACCCCATGCAGCTGTCTATAGCTTCTTTTACTGAATACATTTCTCCCCCACAGAAGCCCCCAGGATGAATACCCCTGAATTTCTGAAAAACCTAATATAGTGTGTAGTTTATTTGCAAGCAACCATTATTTCTAAACATTCTAAACATTCCCATTCTCTAAAAAGTGCCACAAATGTGCTGAATCTGGTGGCAAGTGCTAGGTGCCCCCTGTGAAGAGGCCAGCTCACTCAACAGATCTGCCTGCTTCTTCGGTAAGGCGTAGACCTTCCTGGTGAGCATGGAGGGCTAGCCAGGTCTGCTCCCACTGGCTGATGACACAGTGGCCCTGTCCCGCCCCCTGGGCCCACCCTTCAGGCAGGCACCGCTCCTTCACCCCTCTGCCTCTCCCTCACCCATCCCTATGTAGCAGCCTAGGAGTTGCTGCAAAGTGACCATGTGGCCAGCTTTACCTCTGTCCAAATTGGCCCAGAGGACAGACTGCGTCCTTCAAGGTGAGTCCTAAGCCCCCCACACTCTCTGAACTTCCTGTCTTCCAGACCCATTGCTACCTTCTCCACCGGGGACCTCCTGTCCTGAGCATCCCAGTTCCCAAAATGTGCCATGGTCTCTCGTGCCATTGTTCCTGGACAAGTTATCCTCTCTGCATGCAACCCATGTTCACTGCCTCCCTCCTTACTGTCCACCGGCATTCATCAGAAGAGTTCCTGGTGGGTCTCTGCTGACCACCTCTTCTGCATTCTTCCCTTTCCCTCATTCCCATGCCCAGTGTGCTGGATACTAGAGTGCTTGCTGCAACACATCTACGCTACAATTACGCCAGCCTCACTCACCCAACAGGAATAGCCTGCTTAGCCAGCCCATACATACTGAAGACGATACAGGCCAGACTGTGGCAAGGATATGTGCTCAGCACTGGGGACGTTGCTAACATGAAAGGCAAGGCTACAGGCACAGGCTAGTAAGGCCCCATCCCCCGCAGCATGAGTAGGAAGACTTATGAAGCACCATGGGGAAAAGTGGAGGGACCCAGTCCACATGCACAAGCTGAAGAAGGCAACCACACTGAGAACTTGAGGTGGCACAAGTGCCTGGGGGTGGGCCCTCAGACAGGACCACAAAGACTGGCTGGCAGGAGCTATGTGAGAACTCAGGGCGAGCCAGGTGCTGAGGAAGGCCGTGGTCTCAGGATTCCCATGTAGAAAAACACGCAGACACCTGCTCCAGCATGGAGGGGGCCTTTTGTGAGGCCTGGACGGGGGAAGATCAGTCCCAACACTGCGACCAACCCTGCAAGTCAGAAATGGCTGTGCAAGACAGAATTGGCTGTGCAGGTAGAAAAAAGTGGCTCCAAGAAGACTTGGGGCAACAGGCTCAGGCGGACACGTTGAGATGAGGACCTCCAGAAGAGGAGACATTTTGGGAAGTGTAAGCTGGTAGGACATGACATATGTCAAGTGCCCACAGGACAGGAGAGGCTGAGGAACAGCTGATTGGGCGGGTTCTTGAAAGGAGTCATCAGCATGGGGGGCATGAAGGAATGATGTCCGTGGAAGGCTAAGACCATCTGAGATCATTTGTTGAGAAAGAAAAGAAAAAAAAGGGGAAGAAGTAGGGGGAAAAGGAAAGATACAAGATAGGGAAGGGAAGAAAGGAGCCAAGAGCCTGCAGAGCCCCTGCAGGAAGGCCAGGCTACAAGAGAAAGGACTGCAGAAGAGAGGCCACGCAAGCCAGAAAGGCGCCGATGTCAGGAGGAAAAAACAACAAGAAACAGAAAAGCAGCCAGGCGCTGGTGGCTCACATGTATAATCCTAGCTACTCAAAAGACTCAACTCTGGATCCCATTTCAAAACCAGCCCAGGCAGGAAAGTCTGTGAAACTATTATCTCCAATTAGCCACCAAAAAATCAGAAGAGCTACGACTCAAGTGGTAGAGCACACCTCAGGGACTGATGTTAGTGACTGAGGACCAGCACTGCTAGCGAGCCAGGCCCCGGGATCTTGGGTGAAGTGTTAAGAGGCAGATTCAGGACACAGGAACTTTAGAATCACTACAGAGGCAGAGGTGGGGTGTGTGGGTTGTGCACACCATCCTGGGGAGGCCTGGCAAAGCATGAGGTATCCATGGCATCAGGCAGGGTCTGACTGCTGTGCTGCCTAAGAACATCCTGAAGAACCGTGCAGACAGGAAGGGGTACAGTGTGGTCTTAGAGCACAGGGCAGGCCCCTCCCACTGCAGGAGCCAGGCAGGTGCCAATGCTTCACACATCACATCCCCAAACCTTGCATCTTCTCACTAGATAGGTGACCAGCTCTAGGCCTCAGGATGGCAATACAAATGTTCCTTACCATTCACCGTAATGGTTCCAGTCGTCTGAGGAACCCCGACGAGGGTCACAGGGTATAGACCAGATTCTGCCGGGAGAGAAAGAGCTGCAGGGAGAGACTCAAACTCCACTCCACTGGTGAGAAGGCCCTAGAGAAAGCAAAGGGGTGTCAGGAGCAGCAGCCCAGGCCCGTCCCAATGGTCACTTCCACATGAACCTTGGGGCATTGCTAACAGCATGCCTGGAACTGCTGGCATAAGATGGGTAATACCTTCGCAAAATCTCACAGAAAACTTTAGAGTTGGCAAGGTATGATTGACACAAAACAATGTGGAAACCCTAGCGAGCTCTCAAGTGACAGAAAAAAAATCCTCCCTGACGTTACCCCATGGGTGTACTTTTTTATTTGCTTTGTTCTGCCGAAATGGGAATGTGAACCCAAAGAAAAAAAATATTTTCATCATGAACAAAAGAGAAAAATAACACAAAATGAGGAGATACACCTGTTAATACCCCGCCAGTGCGCCTGTGAGTTATCAACTCATTTCTGTATGCCTAGGCTCTAAGCCTGCCGCTGGACAGGGCCTCCAGGAGGCAGTGACAGGCAACCATCAAGGACATCAGCCCTTGGACTTCTCAACGTTGTGGCAGAGGTCCAGCCAGTGCAACGTGGCAAGGAAAAGAAAGAAAAGGCATAACGTGCATAAATAGTCAAGTCACAGAAAGCACAGCTTTCAGGCATGGGGGTGTAGCTCTGTGGTGAGCACTTGCCTAGCATACGCAGGTCTTGAGTTCCATCTCCAGTACTGAAGGAAAAAAAAGCTATGAGCATAGAAAGTCCTGCAAACATTGAAACTTGAACAAGTTCATTTAGCAAAATGACAAAGTTAAGGGGGTTAAAAAAAAGCAAAGATACTTCTATAATGTAGCAATGAACAATTTTTAGAAAGTAAAATGTTTTCCTAAAATAAAACACCATTAGCAAGTAATCAAAACTATCACTATCTTGGAACAGTGGGGGATGTATGGGATTTTACAAGAGCTAGAGAAGCGATGCTAAGACAGATTACAGAAGGCCCCTCTGGGAGGAGTGTTTGCTGTGGTGTGGCAGTCACAGCATCGCAGGATCTACCTGTGGAGTGTACTAAAGCAGAAACATGAGTGTCTATTTGTGTGCACCAGTGTCTGTGTGCACCCATGGAGAGGCCCATGTGAACAGAAATGTAAGTGCATCTGAGTATACACACATTCTTGCACATTCTTCTCTTCTCTGTCCTCAGTGAACACCCAGAAGCAAAGGCACTGGGGCAACAGGGAGGCTGTAGGCTGGATTTTGAACAAAGCTGTAAACGACCCATGTGCGGATGGATGTAGAAGGCAAGGTTGGAAGCTGAAAGCCCCATCAGACAGCCAATGCCCCCAGCAAATGTACTGGCGCTTATTTCTTTTTAAATTAGCTAAAGCAATATGGCCAACTGTTACCATTTATTAAACAGGGATGGTGGATTTAAGAGTGCTTGATTCCCTGAGACATCTCATACATATTTCACAATTCAATTTTTAAATTTTTTGCTATGATTTGTAGAATAGCAAGTGGAGCTTTTATCTTATTCTTCATTCCTCCTATGATTCTTTAATACTTTGGAGAGACTTCTCCACTAAACTACTGCTGTCCCCTGTCCAGCCCAGGAGGAGAAGTTGTGGGAGAATGAGAGCCACACTCTAAGCCACACCTGTCCTCAGCCACCAGCAGGAGAACAACACTGAGGTGAGCCTGGCCACAGAGCACCATCAATCCAGTCTCAGCAGGGTGTCAGTGGCTCACACTTATAATCCTACTCAGGAGGCTGGGCTATGAGGATCACAGTTCAAAGCCAGCGTGGGCAAAAAGTCTGAGAGACTCTTATTTCCATTAAACTATCCAAAAAAGCCAGAAGTGGAGCTGTGGCTCAAGTGGTAGGGTCCTAGCCTTGAGCAAAAGAAGATCAGGGACTACACTCAACCCTGAGATCAAGTCCAGGACTGGCACTAAATAAACAACAACAACAAAAAAGTTAGATCTCCAGGAAATCTCCCCAGCCTTCCTGGACAGGCACACACTGTCCCACATCCAGGTCCTGCCCAGGCCTCACATATGGTGAGAACTCAACACAGCACCTGCATGAACAATCTGCTTTTTATTCAACACCAATCAGAAACTGTAAGGAACACCACAATACACCTGGTGCATATACAACTCAGTCACATGCCAGGGAACAGAATCCACATAGGGAGGATGTGTAGAGGGCCTGGCTCTGGAAGCAACGTTATGAGCTTCAAGAATCCCTTCCCAGACCATGGAACTGGGTGAGCTGCTCCAAGGGCACAACTACCCGCCACAAGGCTGAAGCAGCATTATCAGGGTCACAAACCTGAGCTTCTGCACAGCACCAGTGAGATAGTGTAAGCTCTTACCCCACAGCTTGTTCTGCCCTTGAGCCTTCCCAGCAAGCCATTTCATGGTGCCAAAATAGTGCTGGCACCATCAAGCAACAGGCACAGTGTAGACTGCAACCTGTGCTCATTCATGCAAACTTCAAAACACACATTTCAAATCTTACAATCAACCAAACTCACTTTTGTGTAAATGAGAGGTTTCTCAGTGGGGGTCAAACATTTATTGAATGTCAAGCATAAAGACACAGACATGAGGAAATACAGTCTTCACTCACACACAGCACACAATCTAACAAACCAGGAAAGATAATGAGCATATATCATCGCATGTATGTGGCAGACAGTAAGTAATAAAATATTAGCAAGATACCAGTGCCTCATGCCTGCAATCCTAGCTGCTCAAGGGGCTGAGATCCAGGGAGTTGAGGTTCAATACTAACCTGGGCAAACTCCATCTCCAAAACAGCCAGCAAAAGCATGACTAGAGGGATGACTAAAGTAGTAGATCACAAGGCAAACAAGTACAAGGCCCTGGGTTCAAACAATAGTACTTGCAAAAAAAAAAAAAAAAAAAGGGATCATACTGGTACGTTGGTAACGACTGGTAGTACATACCATGTTCTCCACACGGAGCTCAAACGGCATCGGGTTGTACACCATCAGCTGAACTTCACACACATCTCCTTGCACCCACTGGAAATCTACAAAACACACAGAAGAACACGTGTGTTAGCTGCTGCCTTTGCTCTTCTCATAGGGCTTCAGTTCATTCCTCCGGTGACCTGTGTATTCAACAGCAGTGGCACCATGATCGTCATCACCATCACTGGATGCAATGAACCATGTTCTCACTGGGCTGGGCAGGCTGAATTCATCCCAAAGCAAATTCAGCCTCACATGAAGTTGATGCAAGCAGCACCACGTTAATGTAGTCGACACACTAGGGCACAGAGGCTGGCAGTGCTGGAGATGACAGTGGAGCCCCCTTCAAGCAGCACAGAGCACAATGACCCTGAGTCCCTAGAATGGAGAGAAGGCAGCTTCCTATTGCCCCCATCCACTCCCAAAACTCTGAAATGACCCCAGCCCCCAAGTCCCAGGGTGCTTAAGCACACGATAACTCAGTGATTCTATTGTCACTATGAAGATTAAAGTGCCAGTGAGTTGGCTGTGAGTTACTTAAAAGGTAGATTGTTAGAAGGACGCCAGTGGCCCACACCTGCCATCCTACCTACTTAGGAGGTTGAGATCTGAGGATCATGGTTCAAAGTCAGCCCCAGCAGGAAAGCCCATGTGACTCCTAACTCCAGTTAACCAACAAAAAGCCAAAAGTGAAGCTGTAGCTCAAGTAGGAAGAAAAAAAAAAAAAAACTAAGGGACAGCACCCAGACCTGAGATCAAGAGCCAGTATTGGCACACATATACAAAGGTAGATTTTTCTTCAGCCCAGCACTGGTGGCTCACATCGCCAGTGCTAGCTATGTGGGAGACTAAGACCTGAAGTACCATGGTTCAAAGCCAGTGCAGGCAGGAAAATCTGTGAGATACTATCTCTGACTAACCAGCATAAAGCTGAATTGGAGATAGGGCTTAAGTGGCAGAATACCAGCTGTGAGCAATCAAACCCAGCACAAGACTCTGAAATTTAGGCCCAGTACCAACACCCACGGGCCATGTGCGAGCAAACACAAGCATGCAGATGCAGGTGCACGGATACACACATACACATAGGCCCATGAGGCCTCCTGTGAAGCCTGATATACAGAGAGCCCACATGGGAGCTATAAGGGCATGTGGAAGGGTGGCCTTGGGTGCTGTCCATGGTCCTGGCTGCCAGCCAGCAAGAGAATAAGGTCCTGAGTTAGGCACCTGCAAGCTCATGAACGAAGACCAAGCAGAAGGGCTTTGAAACAGATCTTCTCCCTGCTGAACCTCCAGAGGAGGGCCCAGCAGACCCTGGGATTTCAATGTGCAACTCCCCAGGCCGGCTGAAATGCCTAATCTATACCCACATGGTGAAAGATGTATTCATACCATCTTGAGCCACTAAGTTTTCAGAAATTTATTACAGTAGAGCCTTTGGGGAGGCGGTGCTGGGCACCAGAGTGACCGGCACTGGGGCAGGAGGGCACCACCGGGTAAACGGCACTACCTATTTTCTTGTCACGCTCCTCTCCACGATTGTGGGCGATGATTGGTGAATAGATGAAGGGACTCTTGGTGGACACGTTCTGACCGAGCAAGCTCTTCATTTTCTGTGGCCGGAGGCTGGCAGGCAGGCTCAGCAGCTTCACATGCCTAGTGTTGCAAGGAACACAAATGTATCACAGCCTTGTTAACTTGCTTTGAGGACACAGGCTCCCAGCAATGTGTCGGAGGAAAACAGCCAATCGGTGCAAAGAGAAGATAAACTGAGGGAGGGAAGACACTCAACTCCTCAAGGCAGGACAGCCAAATGCAGTACACATCTTCCAGGCTCAGGGAGCAACCATATACCCCTATGGTATCACATACTGGGCCCAGGATGGTCTTTAGTCAGAGGACCAGGTTGAAGCATTGCACTGCTCACCAGCTAGGTGCCATGGACAAGGGCCTTTCCATCTCCAAGACAGAGATAGGTTCTACAAAATGCAGACAGGGCCAGGGCCTCCCTCATTGAACTTGGCTCTATACTAGTTAGACACTGCCAGCAGGGTCCACTGCTCGACAGAGGGTCTCTCTCTCTCTCTCTCCCTCCCTCCCTCCCGCCCTCCCTCCCTCCCTCCTGCCCTTCCTCTCTCTCTCTCTCTCTCTCCTCTCCTCTCTCTCTCTCTCTCTCTCTCTCTCTCTCTCTCTCTCTCTCTCCTGTCAGACAGGCCCTCAGCAAGGGAAGGCAGTCAGGCCACCTGATCAGAAGGAACCTTCAGGAAGGCTGCCAGCACCCTTTGTGGCTCAAGGGAACATGATCCTTCCATGAACACACACCTTACTCCTGCTTAAACACACTCTTCTGGGGGGGGCTGAGCACACACAAGCACCACGCCACCCACCTCCTATGCTCAGCCTCAACCAAGTGATTCAACCACTTTCCAGGCTCAAGTCCTATTGCTCTGACTCCCAGGTCACCAATAAAACTGACACACCAGCAAGAGAACTTTCACATCACCCAATACCCCACAGCTGGACACTGAGGACGGGGGTCAGCTCTTCGGCCCCAGAATGCTGAGACCACCTTTGTGAGCAGTTGGTAGTTAAAATCTAGGATATTCCTGGGCCAGAGACAAAAAAGGACAAGGGTGGAGTGGTGACGACTGAGAGGTGTGGAGACACTGACTGTCCTGCAGCGTCCCCCCAGCCCAGGCTCGGGCAGGAAGGTGAGCGCACATGTACATCTCTTGCCAGGGGCCGGCGAGTGGAAGCTACAAGGAATCCTGGCACAAAACACTTTCAATCAACAGCCCAGCGCTTTCTGTCCACAGCATGGCAGTCCTGGCGGCCAGATGCTCAGAAGGCAGGGCACAAGGTTGTGCAGCCTAGCGAGCTCCCTGCCTGGGACCACCGCCCAACTGTCCCCAAACATGGGTGGGTAAGACAAGCATTGGCGCTGTAGGAAGCCACTGAGTTCCAGGGTTGGGTTCTGTACAGCACAGCCTAACCTACACTAGGAGATGCTGCCATCACCTTGCTCTTATCCAGCGCCCACAATAACCCAGGCGAAGTAGATGGTGTGCGCAGCACCGCTCCTCATGCAAGGCTGGTGAGCAGCACCGCCCTCAGCCCCCTCCCGTACCCCCTTCCCCGCACTGTCCCGTGCCCCCTTCCCCGCACTGTCCCGCTCCCCCCTTCCCCGCACTGTCCCGCGCCCCCCTTCCCTGCACTGTCCCTCGCCCCCCTTCCCTGCACTGTCAGACCAGCCCCGCCCTCACACCCTCACCTACTGCCCCGCACGGATTGAACACGCGCCTTCCAATGGACTCCTCAGTCAATGGTGAGTGGCTAGACGCCCAAGTTTGAGCTTCAAATTCAGCTTCCAAATCTGAAGCGCCACACTAAGGATAAGCAGCCCATCACTGCACGCGCTCTCCGCAGGCTTGTCCACAGCAGGCTCTAGTCTGACAACATCCTGAAGCAGCAGAAAGGCCTGCTACAGCCTGACCCAGCTGCACAGCGTGCCTGGACCTGAGCTGCCTGAAGACCACTATTTTGCTTATAAAGTAGGAAAAAGCCCCTGACAACATGTGTAGTCCTGAGACAGGCAGCCCAGGCTGGCTCTGCCCTCTTCACCTTCCTCACCCTCCTGGCTCCTGAGGGCGGTGGTAGCCAGGAGAGGGGAACCGGCATGCACTGCTCAGCCCCTGGCTCTGGGGCCAGCCCGCTTGCCTGCAGAGCTCATGTTCGACTCCTCTCTCTGCATCTACTAACTTGCCTCTCCCCTGACCTGGTCCGGAGGGGGCGAAGCCCAGCTGACTCAGGTGCAGCTTGTGACAGCCCTCCAACAGGCCCTGCGCCGCCTGCTCGCTTTCCCGCCGCGTCCCTTTCTGTCCAGTCCAAGGCGAGGAGGAAAGAGAGATTGACCAGAACAAGACACCAAGCCTCAGAGGGCACTGTGAGCACTGAGGTGACGCTGTGGGGACTGAGGTGACACTGTGGGGACTGAGGTGACACTGTGAGCACTGAGGTGACACTGTGGGGACTGAGCTGACACTGTGGGGACTGAGGTGACACTGTGAGCACTGAGCTGACACTGTGGGGACTGAGGTGACACTGTGGGGACTGAGGTGACACTGTGGGGACTGAGGTGACGCTGTGGGGACTGAGGTGACGCTGTGAGCACTGAGCTGACACTGTGGGGACTGAGGTGACGCTGTGAGGACTGAGGTGACACTGTGGGGACTGAGGTGACACTGTGAGCACTGAGGTGACACTGTGGGGACTGAGGTGACACTGTGGGGACTGAGCTGACACTGTGGGGACTGAGGTGACACTGTGGGGACTGAGGTGACACTGTGAGCACTGAGCTGACACTGTGGGGACTGAGGTGACACTGTGAGCACTGAGGTGACACTGTGGGGACTGAGGTGACACTGTGGGGACTGAGGTGACACTGTGGGGACTGAGGTGACACTGTGAGCACTGAGGTGACACTGTGGGGACTGAGGTGACACTGTGGGGACTGAGGTGACACTGTGGGGACTGAGGTGACACTGTGGGGACTGAGGTGACACTGTGGGGACTGAGGTGACACTGTGGGGACTGAGGTGACACTGTGAGCACTGAGCTGACACTGTGGGGACTGAGGTGACACTGTGGGGACTGAGGTGACACTGTGAGCACTGAGGTGACACTGTGGGGACTGAGCTGACGCTGTGAGCACTGAGGTGACACTGTGGGGACTGAGGTGACACTGTGAGCACTGAGGTGACACTGTGGGGACTGAGGTGACGCTGTGGGGACTGAGCTGACACTGTGGGGACTGAGGTGACACTGTGGGGACTGAGGTGACACTGTGGGGACTGAGGTGACACTGTGAGCACTGAGTGGCATGCTGTGAGCACTGAGAGGACTGAGCAGCACCCGGTGCTGACACTAGCTGCCGCGGCCCATACTGGGTAATGTGGAGGTCACAGCGCTGGGGCCTAGGCAGGCAGGTAGTGCAGGACTAGCCACCCTTGCTCCCAAAGGCCACTGTGGTTACCTACTGTCCCACGCATTTCAAGTGTAAGGAATGCTTAGGAGGGAGCTGGGGGCACACGTGCTAAGGATGAGATGACACTGTGACACAGGACGTGACCTGCGGGGACCAGGACGTCTCTGCCCTAGCCAGGGAGCAGAGGCTGGAGACCTGCCCTGAGTCTAGCCTCCAGTCCCTACACTACCTCCTCAAACAGTAAAATTAAAATGCGCAGTCTTGCTGGCGCACTCAATCGTAATCAATTAAAACACCTTCTTTAATCCCCGAGTCCCTTTCCAAGTAAGATGTTCAATGTCAGCTCACCAAAAAACAATCGCTGCTTCTCCATCCCCCACACTAAACACTCGTTGCCAACTGGAAAGGACACCAAACTCTCTCCCAGTTTTAAAAATCAATGGCACAGTTACTGGGGCCTTGAAATTCTCTTTTGGCGGTTGTACCCCACACTTCTTGTGAAAAACTCTGTCAGAATAAAAGCAAACCCCTTACACTCTAACCGCTGTCCTCTGCTCCAGCTGTGGGCAGCAGGCTCGCAACAGGACACAGCCCTTGGTGACGAGGCCGTTCTTGACCATTGCTGGGCCCTGGGCAGTCAGCTGTGGCCAGGCCCATCTTGAGCACTCATTTGATTCACTGAATTTCAGGACAGAATTTTAAAAGGTTGTATCTCGGCTCCTTTTCTATGAACCTGCAACGTGATTATCTGCGGCCACTGTGGGGTGAGCCTAGTTCACGAGCCCAAGCTTCAGAAAAGAGGGGTGCATTTATTTTCCTGTGAGTGGCTAAAATCTAAGAAGCCCCAACAGAAGAGAAAATGGCTCTGATCATCTACTCAAAACCAAAACAAACAATGGATGGTTGAATGGCAGTAAATTAGCTTGTATCTAGCCGTTCTACACAGCAGCTCTGAAACAGACCCACTGAGGGACTTTGTGACGAGCTTTGTCCTCAAGTATGTAGATTACTGACCTGACACCTCCACATCTACTGGGGTGACGTGCAATTCCTGTCTTAATTTTTTTTTATTTTTTTATTTTTTTTATAAAGCCCAAGTTCCAAGGCACTAAAGGTAGAGATTATTATAATCTGGGCACAATGTGAACCCCCAAAAGGCCCAGGTGAGTCCATAGATGAATGGGTCATTAGGAGATGGGTCAACAGGGGGAAGCAGGCAGCTGCAGTATGATTGAGGGCATATCTGTCCGCGGACCTTTCCTTTCCCACCCTTCTCTGCTTCCTGGTGCCATGAAATGGTGGCCTTCCCCTGCCATGCCCCTCCACCAGGCTCTGCTTACTGAAAAACAATGGAGCCAAGGACCCAACAGCCAGATCCTCCTTCTGAACCACACTCCCCACGGAAGGGATGGGGCCTTCAGGAGAAACAGCTGCTGTGAGCTAAGCAGTGAGGGTATAAACACAGCGCACCTCTGTGTCTGGAAAGGCGATGGAGTCACAGATGTACGTCACCACACCTGCATCTGGAAATTAATCCCAAATACAGCATGAACACGAGGCCAAGAAGAATGCCAGCAGCCCAGGAAAGCGAGTCCCTGCCTGACTCCCGGGGTGTCTTTCAAGTCCAGATCTCTCACTCTGACTGGTGAGGACAACTCCGTGCCTGTCCACCACTCCCGCATCCCAGCTGGAGGATGGGCTGTGCCATTACCCACTGTAGTTCTGTAGTTGTCCCTCGGGGCTGCACCCTCCTGTGCCCACCATCCTGGGTTGGCTTCAGGGAACCACACATGACATGCAACATCATGTCACTTCCAATACCCCACAAGAGGCAATGGGGTTCTCAAAGCTATCTTCTCTTTTCTCCTGCACACTGTGGGAAGAACAGGCAAGGTCTAGAGCTGCTGCTGCCATTCTGAAACCATCTGGGTCCCAAAACTGAAGCCCGTGAAGGGCTGAAAACTAAAGCTGAGACTAGAGCTATGAAGGGGATGAAACCAAATTCCAAGCTGTTTAAACCCTGCCCTAATTCCTCTGTGGGCTATCCAGGTATGTGTGTCATAAACCCTCTTTTGTGTGCATCAAGCCGGGCCCAGTTTGCTGAGCACTGTGACGTGAAGCATCTGCTTATCCAATCAACACATACATGCACCTAAGGGCCAACTAAGACACAGCTCAAAGATCAGGACCTTGGGCTGGGAAGGTGGCTCAGTGGTAGAGTGCTTGCCTTGCATGCATGAGGCCCTGGGTTTGATTCCTCAGCACCACATAAGCAGAAAAAGTCAGAAGTGGCACTGTGGCTCAAGTGGTAGAGCGCTAGCCTTGAGCTGAAGAGCTAAGGGACAGCGCCCAGGCCCTGAGTTCAAGCCCATGATCGACCAAAAAAAGATTAGGACCTAAAAGGACATCAGAGACATGTAGCCAGACTCTATAAGTGCAAGCAAAAAGGACGTGGCAGGGTCTGAAGGCTGACAGGCAAGCATGGATTTCTGACCCCCTTCTCCCTTGGCCAGCTACACTACAAACCTTAGGAGAGCTGCATGTGCATTTTTTCTACCTGTAACTAGAGGTGACGATGATACACACCTCTAGCCAGGAGACTAGGGTAGAAGCCCACTATGGCACTAGCAAGAGCATCTTTGTTTCACTATGAAACTAAAGACAAACATTCCTGGACCTTCCTCTTCACCCTTCTCTCCCAGTATGCCCTGGATGAGACACGCTATCAGGAGCTGCTGCAGCCATCTAGTAATCAGGAGGTGTGTTTTCTTCAGAACTGCAACAACCCCTAACTCACACAGGAAGTACGGCCATTCCCCCTTCCCATGTGGGTGTTTGGCAGGCACTTCACATGCTTGTAAATCCTTGAAAGGCACCTAAGGGTCATCATCAGGCGGAGCAGGAGAAGCAGCTTGAAGCTGAGGGGAGGAAGCCTCCCCTAAGGGTTTCACAGAGGTGTGATGGGCAGCAGGGAGGTGGGCCACAGAGAAGCACCTAGGCACACTGGACTTCGCCCCACAGCAGCAGGAAGCATACAGACTGCAAGACTCTGGCCCTCCAGACCCTGCACGCAAGTTCTGTTCTGCTGCCTCCCATGGCACCAGCATGTCCACAGCAAGGGACGTCCACCCGGTCCTCTGCGCCTGTCTTCTCCAGCTAAATGCTTGTAAGAACTGTAGGAACAGTGAGGAGCACCTAGAGTCCGACTATAGCCAACTATGGGTGCTGGTGCTCATACTTGTCATCCCAGCTACTCAGGAGGCTGAGATCTAAGATGTAAGGATCTGAGGATCAAAGCCAGCCCTGGCAGGAAAGTCCGTGAGACTCCTATCTCCAGTTAACCACCAGAAAATTGGAAGTAGAGCTATGCCTCAAAGTGGTGAGCACTAGCCTTGAGCAGAAAAGCTCAGAGATAGTGCCCAAGCCCTGAGTTAAAGTCCTATAACTGACAAAAAATGGAAAAGAAAAAAGAAAACTATGGTGTCAGAAACCCAGACAGAGCAGCTGAGAGCAGACCAGGGCAGGGGAGCCCCCAGTGGGACTGGAAATAAAGGACAGCAACCACAGCCAATTGACGGACTGGTATCTGCCACGATGTTAACTGTTACACTTCTGCCCACACTGCTCTAGCTGTTTATTATATCACTAAGGGCTGAAATATAGTGAAAGACACTTGAAAATGTGAATGTGAAAGTGTCCCCAAGAAGAACACTCCAATTTGCCAAGTGTTGCGTGTACACCAGGCTGTGAACACCTGCACCAGCGCGGCTCAGCAAAGCCAGACAACCCTGGGAGCTACGCTCCACACCACGTGCATTTACCTACTGCTGTACCGCACTCTGGAAAATTTAACGCCACCCATGTCAGGTTCAGGGAAATGAGGTGACGCCATCACGACAGGCATCAGCCTGTAAGTTCAGCCCGTGCCTCTCTACCACAGGGCAGGAGGGGCCTGGGAAACAGCGGCCAAGCCAAGAACATTTCTAGAGGCCTAGTGCCCTCCTCGCCCAGCCCTCCAGAGTTACAGCACTTCTGCTCAGCAGCAGAAAGCCAAATTTGAACTGTTTTGCTTCCAGCCTTCAAACAAATATTCCAGGAGTTCCAAAATCTCTCCATGACATTGGTTCATAAGCTTCTTTTAAATGCCCGCATTGCCTGTATCAAGGGTCCAGTCTCTAGACTCCTACCACCACAACAAGAACCAACAACACAACATCTGAGCGAAGGAGGGCATCTCAGAATCAGGGGAAGCCGGGCACTGGTGGCTCACACCTGTAATCCTAGCTACTAAGGAGGCTGAGATCTGAGGATCACGGTTCAAAGCCAGTCCCGGCAGGAAAGTCTGTGAAACTCTTATCTCCAGTAAACTACCAGAAAATCGGAAGTGGCGCTGTAGCTCGAGTGGTAGAGAGCTCCCCTGAGCTGAAGAGCTGAGGGACAGCACTCAGGCCCAGAGTTCAAGCCCCATGATTGACAAAAACAAAAAATCAGAATCAGGGGAAAACATACAACATAGGGGTCCATCAGCTGCACTGGACATTGATGAAAATGAACTAAGCAACTCAAGGGCAGCGATGGGAGGGAGGGGATGAGAGGGAAAGAGCGAACAGCTGACACCAAGCAAAAGGCGAGACATGTACCTATCACACGACATGGAAGAAATAGTTGTACTGTCAAAACTTACAGAATTCACAAACTTTATAGACCAAGATGACAGTTTGCCTTATGAGGCTAAAATGTGTTTATGACTTTAAGTATCACTATCCTACAATATTGTGAAATTTATGTAATCACTTAATCTCGATAAAAAAGTATATTAAAAAAAGGGTATAAAAAAAAGTGCCGTGTGGCACCTCTGGTGTCAGAGGGAAGCAGAGGACCCTGTGGGGGAAGCACAGGGACCCTGGAACCTTGTGGTAAACCTGAAGCAGGCAGCGACCAGCAGTCAGGAGTGGGGACAGGGTGCCCATGCTGTGTGGCCAGCACACAGGTCCAGGGCAGGGGGCACAGGGACTAACCTGTTGGTTTCAAGCTCAGCATGGTGGCAATGATGGATGTGGAGCCCACAGGCCCATGTTTGCCATCCGTAGCCATCTGCTGGGCGCTGACTGGTGGGTACTGATGCTTCTGAGGTCATGAACCCAATAAGCCAGTAGCAATGTGGTTCTTCCAGAGACCCCCACACATGACCAGGCCCAGGAAGGCACCCTCATGCAGGGAATGCCCTGGCCTCTGGTGGCATGGCCCCTCACCTGACGATGGGCAGCTTGGTGAAGGGCACCGGGGGCAGCACGAAGCCATCCGAGAGAGTGATGAGCTCCATCGTCCCGGGGCACTTGGGCGTGTAGTTCTCTAGGCTTTGCGTCACATCTTTCTTTTCTGAAAAGGAATAAAAACAAAATCAGTTACTTAACAAAAGTAACAGTAGATGTTTTATTCAGAGCAACCCATGCCAGCCTACTGACTCTAATCTTCCAACACAAAAAAGGGATAGAAGCTGGGGCATGGCTCACATCTGCCATCCCAGCTGGAAAAGCTGGGATCAGGAGAATGTGGTTCAAAGCCAGCCTGGACAAAGAAGTCCACAAGACCCCTTCTCAACTCACAGCTGGGCACAAGGAAACATACCTTCCAGCCAAGCTACAGCGAAGGCTGAAATAAGTTCCAAGTCAGCCCAGGCAAAAAAGTTCATCAGGCCCGGCGCCGGTGGCTCACGCCTGTAATCCTAGCTACTCAGGAGGCTGAGATCTGAGGATTATGGTTCAAAGCCAACCCAGGCAGGAAAGTCTATGAGACCCTTATCTCCAATAAACCACCAGAAAACCAGAAGTGGCACTGTGGCTCAAGTGGTAGAGCGCTTTCCTTGAGCTGAAGAGCTCAGGGACAGTGCCCAGGCCCCATAACAGAAAAAAAAAAAAAAATTCATCAGATTCCATCTCAGCAGGAAAAAACTGAGCTTGAGAGTACATGCTTGCTATCCCAGCAACAGCAAGAAGCATGAAATAGGAGGATCACATACAAAGATCATAGTGTAAGCACAAGCCTGGGGAAAAGGAGGACCCTATCCCAAAAATAACCAGTGCAAGGAAGGGCCAGAGCTGACTCAGTAGTACAGCACCAGCTACCAAGTACAAGATCCTGAGTTCAAACTCTAATACCATCAAAAGAAAGAAAGAAAAAGAAAATCAGGCAGGGGTGGGGGGTAAGAGCAGTAACCACCAGAGACAAAAAGAGACTCCCCTGGAGAGGCCTGGACTCAGATAAAGCCCAGTTACTCTGCTGTAATCTAGGAGGCATCCACTTGCTGGGAAACAATCATGAGACTTTGTGGGGCTGGAGGGATCAAAGACACTAGAAAAATATTTTTTTCCATGAGTACTAAGCACTAAACACAATGTAGTGTGTCTGTATGACATATATTGAAGCAATAATCACAAGCCAATGTTCTGAAGCACATGGAAAGTGTTGTGAGAAAAGACCAAGAAGGAAGAAAGGAGACACAGGTGGTGGTGGCCATGTTTGCCTATTGTCCACAACATACTCTCACAAGGGTAAAAGCTCAGGATGACAAGTGGTACTACCTCCATATAGCACACAGAAAATCTGAGATTTGTCAGCACAGTGGCTCTATTCTGTAATCCTAGCTATTTGGAAGGTGGAGATGCAAGCTGGAGTCCAAAGCCAGCCTAGGCAAAAAGAAATTTGCAAGTCTGTATCTCAAGCAATGGCTGGGTCCAACAGCACACACCTGTTATCCCAGCTACAGGGGAAGTACAATGGCTGGACAGCAGTGTAAAGCTGTCATCCCCAGTGACAAGGAAGGATCACAGCCTGGCCATCCCAGACACAAAGTAAGAGCCTACCTTAAAAATTACCAACCTGAAAAGAGGCTGGAAGCGTGGCTCCTGTGATGGAGCCTAGAACCCTGAATGCAAGACCCTGAGTTCAACCTCAGTACTGCATACTGCAATCCTGCTGTGTGTGAGTGTGCATGTGTGTGTGTGTGTGTGTGTGTGTGAGAGAGAGAGAGAGAGAGAGAGACAGAGACAGAGACAGAAAGAGAGAGAGAGAGACTTCACATGGTGCCTTAAAGAATTAAGAAAATGACTGATTTGGGGGAAGGAAGTGGGCAAGGGGGTTCATGTCTTCAGGCATCTCTTTCCTCTATAAAATGCCAGAGAAAAGCTACTACAGAGGGCAAGGGGGCCTAGCAGAGAGAAGAGCAGCTGTACATAGCCGGGATGTCCCTCTGTGTCTACTGAGCCTGGTTTTCCTACAGGAAGGGGAAGGGAGTCACTAGAGATGATACCTGGAGACCAGCAACCCACAGACATGAGCCGACACTGATGTGGTCAGAGAACAGGTAGATATGGATGAGGGCGCTGCCCAGGCTAGGACCACCGAAATCGGTAGGTCTCAGGCAGCCACTGTCCAGGAAGCCGCCCAGCCGACATTTTCTGCTGAAAGCAGCCTTCTTTAGGGAGCAGGAAAGTGAGCAGAACCACTTTTAAATACAACATGGTAATGTTGATCTTCAACAGGGAAAAAAAAATCTTTAAATAATCAAATCATCTTCAATTTATAGATGATAAGTCTCCCCCAGGGCTCCAGCTGATACCATGCAAATTATCTAATTTGCCTAATGCTGGATAGAGCAGTTAGGGTTCAGGTGTCTTATTAGATTGAATTACACCAGCTCCATACATGCTCTCTGTAAGAGCTGCTAAAATACAGGAGGCAATGAATCTATCTGCAGTGCCAAATACCACATGCGAAACTAGAGAGAAGTCACAGAGTACCTGACCAGCCTCGCCCAGAGGAAGGCCTGAGGGCCACGCCGGGGTGGAACACAGAGTGTAGGCTCTCACCAGCCCAGACCCTCCTGATGGAGCTTCAGGCTTGCTATTTGCTATGGGGGATTCTGAGGGGTGAGGGACCTCAGCAGTCACCTTGACTGCAGCAAGAGCATACCTCTGCCACTGCACAACCAACAGCTCACTGTTAGCTGTGGTTTCATTGTAACCACGGCTGCAGTGTCCTGAGACTTCTTTTGGGGAAATATTGCCACCCCTACCCAACGCAGTGTCAGGAAGCAGGGCTCCTGGGGAGGTGTTTGGGCCATGGGGACCTCACGCAGAGGAACAAAGCTGGCTGGTCCTCCTGCCCCACAGAGGAGGCCTGACAGCCAGACCCTGTTCACCACAGCACAACAGAGCACACGGCCCCATGGTAACTGGCATCTGCACCCCAACCAAGCTGAAGGAAAGCTTGTAATAAAGCCTAATCATTTCCAAGCCTGTGATTTGGTCCTTAATTCGCTTCACTAAAAATCAATATATCTCATTTCATGTTGACCAGCACTTCCAACAATGATTTCAGTTAAATTAGAGCACCTCATGCCCTCAAGAGCACATTTTTCCACCCCAGAAATTAAAGAATTCATGCAGACAGAAGAACACCTCTAATGAAAACTGGCTGTCACCTAATTATAACGTTCTTTATAGAAGCAGAAAATGTGATCAGCAAACTTTTGATCACAAACAATTCATGGGCCATTTGGCATTTCAAGAGTTGATGTGGGCATGAAAACCGGCACATCACGATTTCACAGTTTATTCTTGTTTCTTCTTACTAACAACCTGAGACAGCCGTGTGTGCAGGAAGTCGGTTACGGTATTCTAAACAGGGAGGAGACAAAAAGGAGAAAACACTAAGGACTAAGGAAGAAGAGTACAGGGATATAAAACGGTCAGTGCGTCAATCCTGAACCGACACTTCCAGAAAGCCCCAGTTAACACCTGAGCTGTTTTTCTAAGAATATTATCCATCTTTCAACATCCTCATGCTGGCAGAGATGTGGAGAGAAGGGAACTGTGGAGCACTGTGGTTATGCGGAAAGAGGGTGGAGGCTCCCCCAGCAACCCACAATCCCTCTGCTGGAAGCACACCCGAGGGGCAGAAAACCCACACCTCAGAGACAGCCCCCCCCCCCAGTCACCGCAGCCCTGCGCACAGCGCTCAGGATACAGAAACAACCTAGATGTCCACTGACGGCATGAATGGATGAAGAGAATGTGGTATCTATTTTAAGATACACCAAAATCACCAGGCACCGGTAATTCATACTGTCATCCTAGCTACTCAGAAGGCTGAGATCTGAGGATCATGATTCCAAGTGAGCTCAGTCAGCAAATTCCATGAGACTCTTATCTCCAGTTAACCACAAAAAGTCAGAAATGGAGCTGTGGCTCAAGTGGTAAAGCACTAGCCTAGAGCACATAAAGCTCAGGGACAGCCCCAGACCCTGAGTTCAAGCCTAGGACTCTTGCATACACAGGAGATCCTGCTATTTGCCACAACATGAATGGACCTGGAGAACATTACATGAAGTGAAATACACTAAAAACAGAAAGAAAAAACTGCATAATCTCACCAATGGTAAGAAAATCCCAATAAGGACACAGAAGGTTTGCACAAACCAGCAAGTGTCTTCTAGCTGACACTCATGGAACACTGGATGCACAGCCGCAGGACACAGATTGTGGCTACCACAACACAGCCCGGGTTCCACCAGCACACAAACCTCAGTATGCTGTAATGACAACATTAAAGCAGAGCTCAGTCACAACCGTTCATCTACTTGCAGAAGCTGGAAGGCTAAGCCACACACAGAATTCCAGATGAGAAGAAAAGAAAATTTTCAGAGTTCTAACTCAACAGTAACAAAATGTAGCAGGCCAAAAGGAAACCACCTTTAGAGAAAATTTCATAGCTGTAAATGTTAAAATTAGAAAAAGAGAAATGTCTAAAGTTAATTACTTAACATGCCACTGTAAATATCAGGGGGGAAAAACAAAATGAATGATGCAAAATAAAGAAAACCAACAATGTCAAAAGTCGTCTCTTTAAAAAAGTCAATAAAACAATGAGCCCCTGGGAAAGAAGCCCAGTCCTGAACTCCTGGAGGAGAAGGGGCAGACCTATGCTGCTAGAGGAAGGGGATATTACAAACAGCACAGCCAGCCAGCCCGGGAGCTGATCGAACAGAGGAATTCCCAGAGGGGAAATGCCATAAGAAGAAAAGGACAATCTTAACAACCCTGTTTTTCTTGAATCTACAATCATAACTCATGAACAGAAGTGGCTAAGGGGGCAGGGAGGGACTCCTCTCCCAGATGGTCTCATGTTCACATCCAAGAAATAATGTTAATCTCATTCAAACAAGCTTGCAGAAAATAAAGGGGGAAGGACTTCCCCGCTTGTGTCCCGTGACCATTGTCACCCCAACACCACAGCTGGCAAGTAAATGAAAGAAAGCAGAACTCCACACCAACAGCCTGGAAGTAAAAGGACAAATGAGCATTCAGGATCCACCAAGA